AGTGAGCATAAGTGGCACAAAATCGGTTTTTGACAAAAGCTATGAAATTAATTGGACACCCCGAAAATTTCAAGATTGTTAAAGTAAGTGGTTCCTTCCCTCTTACGTATCTTTTGGAAGATATGGAGGGGCGTTAAATCAAAAGGTTCGTTTTATGAAGTCGAATTACAAAAACCGTACTACCAAATAGTCGATCGACTATTTGGTTCGACTATTTGGTTAGTACGGTTTTTGTAATTCGACTTCATAAAACGAACCTTTTGATTTAACGCCCCTCCATATCTTCCAAAAGATACGTAAGAGGGAAGGAACCACTTACTTTAACAATCTTGAAATTTTCGGGGTGTCCAATTAATTTCATAGCTTTTGTCAAAAACCGATTTTGTGCCACTTATGCTCACTGCAACGCCAGCTTTGAACTTTGACTTTTCCACTGCAAATTTTTTTTGGTAAATTATATGCGAGAATCTCCGTTGTTGGGGTAATTTCTGAAGGTTTCATTCCGGTGGTACTATGTTTTGTTTGAATATATTTTGTTGTTATTTTTTTTATTATTTAATAAAGTTATTTTTACGCAATTACTTGTTTTTTTTTACTTTTTTATGGGGGGTAAGGATAAAACATACACACACACTGAATTTTAAAAAACATTTATTATTATTAGTTTACAGGTAAATTTCTATTAAAACACAGGTATGTCCCATGCTATCCTTTTGTTGATATCTTGTTTTATCTGCATTTTTCCAAAACGCATGTAGTCCTCCATGCAGTAGCTCTGCTCACTCTCTTCCGTAGAACATAAATATTCTATATGCGGAAAGATTTTGGCGTCTTCCAGCAAATTTTCATCTATAGTCAAATACAATATTCTATCGTAGTACTCGTAAAAGTTCAAACGAGACAGTACTCGTATTCTTTTAAATGCCAATTTGCTTATGGTAATTAATTCCTGTACCCAGTCTTTCGAAATATAGAGTATACCCTCGCTATTTTCAATCTTGACCAAGACTTCACCATCACATTGTAGACAGCTGAGTTTGAAGCAGGTTAAATACATAACTTTACCAGTCGGGCCTGCTAACAATAACAGTGGAAGCTGTTGTATTAATTCTGTGAAGTCCATCTCGTCGAACGAAATGCTTCTTTTCTCCGACAAAACGTAGGGGAGAAAGCTCACTTTCACTGCCGGAGCGAAGATTCTTGCTGGGCTAAGACCTGAGGTAATTTCTAGTCCGAATTCCGGCAGCGTAATTGCTGCCTCGTAAATGTATTTTTGTTCGCGGATTATTTCCGCATTGACCACAAATCTTCCCCACGAATCCAATGCTTGCGTTGGATAATTTTCGACTTCTGACATTTTTCTCACTCTGCACTTAATACGAAATTGTATGAGTGGAAACTGAATAAAAAATTAAAATTTCTTATAGCTTATATATGTATAACCCCACCCATTCCCCAGATCCAAAGCGAACGCCGCACAAACTTGTTTCGACAGGAAAAAAACCTGACGGAGAACCTCCATCCATCCCACTTTTTTTTAGACAAGCTCTGACAAGAAAAAAAAAAGTACGTATCAAATAATGCGCCATTTTAAAAGGGGACATATTATCAATAGTGAAACTATTTATATTAAGATATACCTTTATCCTCTTTGCAAATAATTTTCTACTCGCTCACAGGTAGGATCATGAAGATCCTTCAATATTTTGTTGCACCAGGTATTTAGCTTAGCCTAGAATTCTTTTGAAAAATTATTATTTTTAAAAAAGGCGCGCGCTAGATCAGTTGCCGTTTCAGCGATATTTCCTTGTTTCCCGTGTCGGAGTTTATCTCTTTTCTTTTGTGCATATTCTTGTTTTAATTAAATCTTGATTATCTTTTTATGCCAATTTTGACGATCATCTAATTTTTTGTAACTAAAATTAATTCAATAGAAACAATTAAGGCGAGATGATGCCCGGCAGCTGTTGTATTAGGTATGAAAAAATCAATTTGGATGAAGGAGATGCTTCTTTTGTCCCGACAATGTACAAGAATAAACCTGTCTAACCATAGCAAAATGGGCCCAAAACTGTGACACTAGGCGAGAGTATGCGTTATTTGGAAGTTAAATTTTAAAAATCCTTTGTAAAATATTCACGGGGAGGGTGTCAAGGCGTCAATTTTTATAAACATCGGAGGTCAGTGTCGGAGAAATAAGGGTTCTTCCCTTTTCTCCTCGTCTCTTTTTAACTCCGTTTTGAGTAATTTGTAATAATTTGAGAAAAAAAAATCCAGTACCCGAAAAATGGACACACATTTGCAAGCAAAACAAAAAAAAATAGGATACAAAAAAAAAACTATAAAATATAGGCGCCAATGCAGGCAATAGTTTAAATACGGGAAGTTACATTTTTAAACATAAATTCAGATTTTCGGTGGCAATATAACTCTATTTTTCGTGTTTGTTAAGAACCAGGCTTTGGAAACGTCTGGTTAAGGCCACAGGCCATTAGCTTCTAAATAAACGCGAGATATCATGAAAACCGAAAAAGTTTGAATGGAATCTAACGTTTCCTTTTGTTTCTCAAAAATAGTAATTAAGCGGAAAAGTACTCGTAGTATATTGATTAATTGCAGAAATGTCTCATTTTCTACAAAACAACTTAAGTTAAATAAAATGCAAATTAAATTATTATAAATTACCGCTTTGTTGTATTCGCTATTTACTATGCCCCAACCTATGACGACACTGGAGGGTAGCTTAAAATTTGACCTGCTTGGTTTACCTGCCTTTCGTAGGAATGCGGGTTGTTTCACGTGTCAGTCGAAGTTTAAAGAAGCGTTTGTGTTAAGGGTTCGTTTCTGTTATCCGCGTTTGTTGCTTAATGCAATATCGCCAACGAGTTTAAGTTTTGTGTTCAATGTATGTTTCGTATACGGATAAATAAAACAAAAAAGACTGGAAAAAGATAGGTAAGAAGCTTTCGGAATTGCGACTTTAATGAGTAACCGCGTAACATTTTGACCTAGTATTATGTATATGTTCGACGAGGTTTCTATACTTAATTAAAAAAAAATTGGGGAGTGATCAAAGGAGGCTGAGGTCGGAGATACGGATCTTGTTTAGTATCAATTTTTGTTTAATAAAACAACCAAAAATGCTCGCTTACGTTTTTGAAGTAGGTAAAAAGGAAACAGAATTTTAATAGAAATAACGCACGATATATCTTCCAAAAAATTCAGCCATATGAACAACGCGAAGAAGTTAAGCAGATAAAATTTTACAAGATTTTTGGGGGGGGGGCCAAGTGTAAATTCGGATTGTGGAAAGTAACAGATAGAGAGAATGAGTGACCTATATAGAAAAAGAGAGACAGAAAGGTAGATTTATTTAAACGTTTCTCGATCATCCACCCATCGGAGATAATAAATAACATTCGCTAGTTTTTTTTGCATGTATTGAGTTAAGTTCGGAATAGAAATATATCAATAGTAACAATTTAAATATGGTAATTTTTGGGGATTGTTATACGTCCGCCAGCGTATTAAAAATATGGTTTTAGGGGTTAGAACTTTTAAGTTTCAAGAAAAAAAAAACTCATGTTGAAATTTTTGTATTCGGAAGCTTCTGTTGTTTATTAATTTATAGACACTGGAAAATACAATAATAAAACATCCTACAGTTGACATACGTGTCCTCTTAAACTCGAAAAGAGCTAATTTATCTTAGAAGAGTACGTATTTTTGGTAAAATAGATATTTTTTATATTAAATATTTGACCGATCGATGTAATTCGTCAAGCAGAAACCGAGAAGAAAAGTGACGCTTGTGGTGTTTGCTGACAATCCGACCCTGCTTCGTGTACAAATGCAATGACATTTCGGCAGGGCTATAGGCTACGAAACCTTTCAGACTCGAAAAGGACGAACTGTTTTAAAGAAAAAAGGTACTTCATTTTTGGTAAAAGTAATAGATAATTTTTTTTTTACGCTAAATATTCCACAGATCGATGTAACTCGTCAAGCAGAATCCGAGAAGAAAAGTGACCGGGGGTGCTGTTTGCTTACAATCCGACCCTGCTTCGTGTACAAATGCAATGCCATTTCGGCAGGGCTATAGGCTACGAAACCTTTCGAACTCGAAAAGGCGCTACTAATTTTGAATAGGTACTTCATTTTTGGTAAAAGTAATAGATAATTTTTTTTTACGCTAAATATTCCACAGATCGTTGTAACTCGTCAAGCAGAATCCGAGAAGAAAAGTGACCGGGGGTGCTGTTTGCTTACAATCCGACCCTGCTTCGTGTACAAATGCAATGCCATTTCGGCAGGGCTATAGGCTACGAAACCTTTCGAACTCGAAAAGGCGCTACTAATTTTGAATAGGTACTTAATATTGGGTAAAAGTAATAGATAAGATTGTTTTACATTAAATATTTGACAGATCGATGTAACTCGTCAAGCGGAATCCGAGAAGAAAAATGACGGATGTGCTGTTTGCTGATAGTCCAGAACGGCTTCGTGTACAAATGCATGGCGGGGAGACCAGAAAGTTTTCGAAACTGCGTGAGTGGAAGTCTGCGTTGGACAAATTTTGAAAATATCTGAAGGTTTAACGAATTTTGGAGAATTCGACAGAGCTACAGACTACGAAACCTTTCGAAACGAACACACGTGTCCTGTTGAACTTGAAAAAAGACGAAATTATTTTTAAAAAGGTATATTGTTGCTAAATAATAGATTTTTTTTAATTAAAATATTTGACAGATCATGGTAACTCGTGAAGCAACATCTCAGAATTGAATCGGGGAACGAGGAATCAAAAAAAGGTTAACAATTTGGATCATTTTGGAAGATACATACGCCGCGCTTTTCAAAGCGGACAGACGTGCCCTTGTCCAACTGAAACGAACACACGTGTCCTGTTGAACTTGAAAAAAGACGAAATTATTTTTAAAAAGGTATATTGTTGCTAAATAATAGATTTTTTTTTAATTAAAATATTTGACAGATCATGGTAACTCGTGAAGCAACATCTCAGAATTGAATCGGGGAGTTGTGTATTTGCTGGCAATCCGGGCCTGCTTGGATCATTTTGGAAGATACATACGCCTGCGCTTTTCAAAGCGGACAGACGTGCCCGTGTCCAACTTGACAAAGGCGGAATTATTTTAGGAAAGGTATATTATTTGTAAAAAAAAAAAATATATACAATTTTTAAGTAACATATTTGACAGACCATGGCAACTAGTAAAGCAGAATCCGAGAATTCAATCGGCGGCTGTATGTTGACTGACAAGAATATAATTGCTGTTAATCCGGCCCTGCTTCTTGTACAAATGCATAGTGGGGAGACATGAACATTTTTCGAAATTGCGGCCCTATCCTCTTGGGATTTTACGTTGGACAAATTCTGAAAACGACCCAGAAATATAATTGGTGAGAAAATAGTTTTTTTTGTTGTGTTAACAGTTAACAATTTTTTTTATTTTGGAAATAAGGGGGTTTCAGTATGTACTGGTAATAGTGAATCAATTTAATGACCTCAGCATCTCTAAACCCCCATCTTGAGACGCGTTAACGATCCGGATCGAGTTACGTCGCGTAATTGTGTCACTTTTTTAATTAAAAAATGAAAGAGATGTACCTACCATACTTTAGAAACCCCCTACCCCCCTTTGGAGGTGATGAAATAAGTTTTGGCATAAAATATAAGTTCCTCGTATTACTTTGATATGATAAGTATAAGTCTTGCCTGTTTTTTTTTTTAAAGGAGGTTCAAACCCGTGCGAGGTGAGGTTTGATATATGAAACAGACCAGTCATGGGGACACGAGATATGGAAAGTTTCAGCGTAGTCGTCGCCAAATCAGGTAAAATTTTGAAAACACATATTTGTGGCAATATAGAACCTCTCTTTTTTTTAACAGGAATATTGAGACTTAGACCAGTATCTTTTTAAGTAGGCATGTGGGGTAAAGAAGACGCAGAAGCTTCAGTCGGGCACCTTCGGTAACGTAGGCGGTTGATATATTTCCACCACTACATATGTTGGATTGGAATTTCCCATTTGATGCTTTGACTGACTAAATGAGGAAACTTGGAGGTAAGCTCTTACGGAATTCTATCGAGATATGTTTAGTAACATATTGGTGCATTACTCTGTCTTCCAGTCAGTTTCACATAAACTTTGCACGTATTATAGAAATGCCACCTACTTTTTTTTGTGTTAATATTATTGAAAGTAGTAGCTGGTAGCTGTAGTCGTAAGCCCAGAGAGTCTCTGTTTTGAACATAATACACAAAATGGGGCGTTCAAAAACAATAGACTGCATGCCTTTTAGAGTCGGCGTAAACTATGGTCATATACCCCTGATCAAATTCAGAACTAGAAAATCGTTGTGTCTCTGCATTAAAAATAATAGTAAAATTTATTGTAGGCACCTAGTAGAGTATCGAAAATTTCCATTTTTAGTGCCAAATTGGTTACTCCAGTAAATTCCAACTGTTCTAATTTTTTTTTAATAATTTATGATGTTAGTGAGTTTCATTGCGATTATTTGTTACTTAAATTTTCTGCGTATTAAACCTTAATTAACAATACGCTATTCGTTAACGCAGGTAGAATTAATGACGCTGACTGACCTGATTTTGTCCAGGGGGGCGTAGTACGGTAGTTTGTACTGTGATGTTTGGTAGTTTGGCAGTGAGCTCTCATTTATGAAACTGGGGAATGTTTCGTTATCTTCAAATCGTAAACACGTATCATTAGAATTATATTTTTAAAATATTGATTAGGACATGTACTAAGTAACTAAATGCTCTAGCGAAAATATTCACACATATTGCGGAAAACGTACAAATTTAAATTAGAGAAAATTAACTATTTTTAGAGGTTGGTTTTTCAAAAAGGTGGGGATTTAGTTAAAGAACAGATAGAGACTAAAGGGAAGCTCTATGAGAAAAATTAGAATTAAAAAGTCGATGTTTTCGTGTCTTAGCGAAAGATGGATTATTATTAAAAATAATACTTGCATTAATTGTTGTCACCATTTGTGAAAAATATGGAAAATATCCTCTAGGTTCGCATACCTTTTTTTTAATTTTTTAAGGTGGCTAACAAAATACACAGACAGAAAAGTTTAGATCCTGTTCGTTAATGTAGCGCATAGAAAAAAATTAGAAAAGAGAACGTTTCGTGTATGGCATACGTAGTTAGTACGGAATATTAATCTGAAGGCTGCAAGACAGTGAAAGAGTGATGCGCTTAAGTATGGTTCAGAGAGGTTATTTGGGCTGTAGAAGTTTTTCTTTGAACAGGGTTCAAATAGCGTCTCCTAGAGCGTTAGCAGAGAAGAGTATTACAGTATTTAATATAAGCGTCCAGATTTCATTATTGTTGAGATTGCATAGAAACACACTTTCATGTAGTAGTCGCAGCAGCTTTAAAGTATATGACTTTTTAGTTAAGATGCCTTTCGAGTTTGCTTTATGGATTGATAGGAAATTAAAGGGTAGATACAGATAAGTTACGAAAAAAAGTATGTACACTATCCTCAAAGATCAGCAATAAATAAAAGAAATTGATGAAATAGTAAAGTTGACTGCAATATCTTAAAATCATCAATAAGATAGATAAATTAATTTTGAAAATATTAAATAATAAAAATAGCAAAGAAAATCAAAATCATCAATAAGATAGATAAATTAATTTTGTAAATATTAAATAATAAAAATAAAATTATAATAGCAAAGAAAGCCTACCACGGCCACATACACATAATATTTTCGACATATGAACTTTTCCCAGATAAATAGTCAAATATTTCACGATACCTTAAAACAGAAGCATGCGGAAATATGTATGAAGTTAACGCACGGTAGATGGCTTAGTAAATTAAAAAGGTATACGGTTTCTAATATCCTACTTTATTAATGAAAATTTTAACCAGCTTTTTGTTTTGCAGATATTATTGGTGGTGCCTGCCAGCTTCCAGTTCCGAGAAAAGAAATCCAACACTTTTCGTCTTTATTTCCCCTGTCCTTTGTGCGCAATAAAAGTACAGTTTGTACCCGCGAGGGTACACATTCGCAGAATTATATGTTTTTAAAATAAATGTTTTGGTCAATATTCACTAGGTGGGGTTACCTTATTAAAGAAAATCTTTTTCCAAGAGGGGACACTAGTTTACATTCGAACCGCTAGGGGGTGCAGATGGTCACGCGAACAATATGAACAAGTCTCATTGACGCCATTGCTTTTCTTAGGGGTGGGAAAATATCTGGGCTCTGATTGGCTTCGCCGCCATCGCAAACTAGAGGTGGGGAGATTGATTAAACCGCATTTCTGGTTGCTTATCCAATGGGGACCAGTTTCAAGGGATTATGGGTAAAGGCGGAGGAGCTAGAGAGTCGTGGGGAAGGAGGATACGCCCACAAAAGGGAGAGGAGTGGGGGAAGCCTATATTATACTTAATCACTACTTCCCTAGCCCTCTAATTTGCTCAAATTTTACAATTTTTCGACCCAAAACTTAAAATTTGCCTTCAAAAATAAAAAAATGGCAATATTACTTTTCTCAGTTATTTATTACTTTATGTCAGCTGTTTGGACAACATCGCTCCTTTATCAAGTATTTGCAGTGTATTTTAAATTTTAAATTGCTAAATCAACTGAAAGCTTAAGTTTGATCACTAAAATTATTTATGACAGAACACAAAATTCAATAAAAGTGACATTGACAGCTAGATGCGCGGCCTACTAATACATAAACAAAAAGTGTCCGACATTTCTGCCTTTTTTCATCGCAGATGCAAATCTATATGACTGCAAACGACTCCTCACGGGAATTTGCTTAAGACGATATAGACGATTTGTTGTGTTCGTTTATGAGAAAACGGAAAACTGCAGAAACAATCTGAGTACGCCACTGCATTTGCTTACAAAATGCTCTAATATTGTTTCATACGAATCCAAAATTTTGATAAATAAAAAAGTTATGGACAATTTTCGTTCCTTAAAGGAAGATTCGAACTATTACGGAGCAATTTATAGAGAAAATAACACTCAAAGCATAAAGCCTCATGAATTTTTAAACTTTTTTCAATTTTAGGAATTTTTTAATTTGTTGCAATACTTATGTCCAATAGTGTATATCGATTGTAGTGCTGATCGTTTCGAAAGCTATCCTTACAGGGTCTCCACTCCTTACTGATCGAAAATTCGTGTAAGTTGCAAACCCAAAATTTCATTGGCGTGCGCTTGTGCAATTTTATTTTCGGATAACGAAAGGGGCGCGGTCCGCTCTATTATTAATTCCACTCAACTAATTGGAAGCTTCAAATTAACTTGCAAATTAGTTTCTGGTTATTGTTTATGGAACAGACTTGGGGCGCGGCGTTACGAATACCAGGGAAAAAAGTGTACGTGACGTCATGCATAGTTGCACGATGTTCTAAAAATATCTCAAGTTAATAGGGAAAAGTCAAAGTATCTACAGCGTGTTTAAAAAAACAGTTACAACAATTTAAGTTACAGAGTGTTTGCAGATGGGGATATTCGTGTTCTCCATTTTCTACTTTCAATAGAATTCAAGCCAAACGTATCAAGAGCTACCACGCCACAATTGTTAGCTAGAAGGCCGATAATTTTTTAAAATGTCTATTGTATGAAAGCATATAATCTCTTAAAGTGCTTATCTTTGTGCGAAAATGCGGAAGCCATTGTTAGAAGGCATGTCAGAATTTGGCTTTATCAGAAATATACGTGCGCCGTTACAAAATGGCTACAAAAAGTATCAGTTTTATTAATTCTTTCTAATTATATTTTAATCTCAAATGGCAATAATTCTTCGTTTATGAAAACATCTATGAGAATCATTTTGTTAGTTGTAAGTAAAACATTTTTTTAATGACGACCGAAATTAAGTGATGACGATGATGTGGTTTGATTTTTTGCAAATTCATTCATGATCATAACTTCTAATATTAGAAAAAATTACCCTCTCAAATATAAAAAATTGAAAACTTCTTCGGCATGGGAAGAATAGGAAGTCCTTAGAAATCTTGTCACACTAGCAATTCGAAGGAATTTTGTTGCGACTTGCTCCAATGTTACTTTCGATTTTGACACTCCTGTTGAGTTTAATAGTTTTTTTTTTAGTGAGAAAAAATATCAGTTTTTATTCCACTGATCTAGACATTGTTGATTCATGATCTAAAGATTGTAAGTGACATCGCCCTTGCACACAAACCTTCCCTTAACAACTCTAAATCTTAGCTCGTTTCGTTTGGCAATAGCATCGATACTGCTTTAAAAATTATAAGTGTATATATTAATAAAGTTAAACTGAACTCCTCTACTTCGTGTAAAAATTTGGGCCTAATCATTGATAACAAACTTAGATTTAAACCTCACCTGTTTCATCTCTAGTTCAACAAAGTTATTGTTAACTTAAAATCTTATATCTACTTAAATATTTCCTACGTGATTATCTTATCTACGTGTATACTGCGTTATACTGATCTGCTCTTCTTCGCGAGGACAGAGGAGACCTTACAAAACAGCTCCATAAGATTTTGTTATGGTGGTTATGTTTGATACATTCAAGAAAAAGTGAAAGGAGCACTTAAGATCTGCTTTATAAAATAATATAAAGGTATGTTTTTCTTATGTTATAAGATTTCTGGAATATCTGATGAAAAAAAGCGAGCATATCGTGTTTGGATCGAACGGCATCAGAAAAATGTGGAGAAGAACAGGAGGGGCATTGAATTCTAAAAATAGAATTAATAGAATGACTTGCTGCTTCTTCAGGGCTTAACCGAAACTGGCTCGCATTCTACTCTGTACTTGCAGATACCGTTTGAGGAAAGCGGAGCCAAACATCATCTCGGATGACTGATTCCCATATTGTTGAAAGGTGAAAGTCGAGGTTAAGATTGTTGGCTTGCTTATAGATTTATATGGATTATCGGTATTTTCTTTAGTTTTATCGAATAGGATTTGAAATCTCGAAGGAATTCCTGACTAGGAAGCCGAATAACAAAAGTATCATCAACGTAGCGTTTCAATAATTTTGGTTGTGGGTGAAAGGTGTCGAGTGATTCCTTCTTATTGCGAATGACTGGTGATAATATAGAGGCCTTAGGTGTGAAAACACTACAGCGGTTAATAATTTTTTGACGTGAGAAAAAAAATCGTATTAGCGAAAACAATTATTATATTGCTTATTCCTTGATAGAAAGAAACGTCACTTCCTATACTTGTTTACGCTGATCATCATAATTACCAATTGCCGTATTAACCGGACTTTGTTTAAATTGTAGTCATAATTGATCTATGTATTTTCTTTAATCCCGCTTGCTGTAAAGTTTTAAACTTCACTGGTTTAGCATAACATAATAATAATACTTGCAATTACCGAAAATACAAAACAATATCCGCCCAAGAACGAAAATTGGTTAAGTACCAATAAAAAAATTATTCCTCAGACCAACTTTACATTTAGAAACAATAATATACAGTTCTCCGCTGTCTCAGAAATTCAACTTTCATATTTTATATAGCAATCATAGTTAGCTTTTCGCCCATATAGATTTGTTGGTATATGTGATGAAGTTTTTGTTTATGTAGTAGTAGGCCGTGCATAATATGTTCAAACCAGGAAACCTAAGAACTATTTAATATTTAATTTTAATTTTAGATACTATTTTTAATATTTTTGATTATTTAGAAAACAAAATTATAGTTATTTTAAACTAATAAATAAAACACCATAGATATTAAAATACAAGATATGAAAATTTTGCCTTTTACATTAATTGTATTGACATATTTTAACGTAACCATTCAAATTGGGCGCCGCCATTTTCAATAAACTCAACGGACCTTTTTCGTACTGAATGGCTATTGTGTAAGATAGATGGAAGCAAACGCTTCTCGACTGGTTCCTCTAACTCTGCTTTGATTTCGAAAATTCTATCTTTAGATATTTTTTAATCACACCCATAAAAAAATCTAGTTAGATCACAACTTCTGGATTCCTCCGGCGTCAGTTTTTGCTGAGTCGAACGTGCTGATTTCTGTTGGCTTCCTCAGAGCTTGACTGAAACTGGCTCGCATTTTACTCTGTACCTGTTTATATATTGCTTGAGGGGGGCGGAGCTAAATGAGGGGCATAAACACCGTCCCGGATGACTGATTCCCATATTGGTGACAGGTAGAGACCTGACTCGCGGTTTATCCAATAAAATTTTATGTCCGTCACAATAGGCAACAGGAAATTTCATTATCTTTTTGCAATTGTCGATAAACTAGTTGCAAAATGGTATTCTAATACCAGCATCCCCTTCATGTAATTGGTGGACTTTTCTATTACGATATCACTTGAATTTATTTATTTTTTTTTAGTAGTCAAAATCTTAGTTTCTGTCACATTTCAATACATCTCTAATTATATTCTGTTTTCGGCCTACAAATATATAGATAAAAACAGATACCAACAAATCTATGTGGCTGAAAAGGGCCCGACATGGTCATTTGTTTAAGATCGTTGCCAACTATGGTTGCCATATATAATAACAAAGTTGTATTCATTTACGAGAAAACGGGGAACTGTAGAAAGCATCTGGGTACGCTACTGCATTTACGTTAAAAATTGCCCTAATAATATTTTTACCCAAATCCAAAATGTTTATAAATAAAAAAGTTATGGGCAATCTTCAGAAGGACCGAAAATTGAAAAACATCGAGATATCGATCGCTAAGCGGTTTTTTTCCTGTTATTTCCGGCTAAAACACTCCAATTACAACCACCTTATATAGAGAACCAAAGTTAACATTACACTAGTCAGCCGTAGGATTAAAGTTTAGGCTCACTTGATAAATAATTGGTGATCTTACCGTCATATTCTTTATTCTCGCCAGTAAGGACGGACAGCCTATAGAATTAGACCTGCTTCTAAATCATGGTCACAGATTAACAAGTCTCTAACATTAAGAGACTCCATATTGGAGCAACAAAAGTTAATCAAATTCCCGTTTAAACAAAGTTTAAAGGTTATCTTTGCGCGTTTTTGGCAACATTAAGTTTCAAGGAGTTCACACCAATTTACCATGAGTAACACAAATCTTTGATGAAAATGAAAAGAAGTGAGGGACCCAAAGTCGATCCTTGAGGTACTCCTGATATTTTCTATATTCAACAGAACTTGGAAGTTTTCCTTCTATTCTTTTTATCTAGTTAGACCTCGTATAGAATATGCCTCACCATTTAAAGAAAAAGTTGTGATATATTTATATTATATTTTAAAAAATATTAAATGTAATTAACGTTAATTTAAGAATTCTTAATAAGCGAAAACTATTTAACGTAGATCCATACAAAAGTTATCCTTACTGTATACTGTATCCTGTACTACTGTAACTTTACATCTATCGTAAACCTTAAATTGTCATTCGGAGAGCAACTCACCCTATCTGTTATTTTAGGCCCACCTCGAAAAGACAGAGGGCGACATCAAGGAACTCACCGAGAACTCTGTGAACCTAAAGTCGAATTTTTTGGAACTGACGGAACTCCGTCACGTGTTGGAGAAAACGCAGACGTTCTTCAGCGAACAAGACGAAGCTAACGGTTACGATTCTGCGCACAAAGCTCTTATCCCTGAAGAACAGAATGTCTCTATACGGGGTAGGAAGGTGTTTCCACAATCTTCAAGGATCCCTAATTTGACAATTGACCTCTTTTAGGTAGATTGGGATTTGTGGCCGGTGTCATCCAACGGGAACGCGTGCCCGGCTTCGAGAGAATGCTGTGGAGAATCTCCAGAGGGAACGTGTTCCTACGACAAGCCGAAATCGAGAAGCCACTGGAGGATCCCTCAACGGTATAGACCATTAACTTTTCAAAGAAACTTCCACAGGCTACTTCTTACTACTTACAAATCTTCTGGATTCCTTCTGTCTCTGGTGTTTGTAAATCAAACTTCCTGATGTTTTGCCAGTCATGCTCTTGGCTTCTTCAGAGCTTCACTGAAACCGGATAGCATTTTACTCTGTACCTACTTATATGTCGTTTAAGGGAGGCGAAGCTAAAGGAGTAGCACGAATCGCGGTTAAGATTGTTTGGTTGCTACGTATTCCCAAACAACAGTGGGAATTGTGGGTTTACTTAGATTGTGTTGAAGTGTATTTTGAAAGTTATTAGAGAGAAGAGCAGATGTAAGGTGTTTCAATTTTTGGTTCAGTAACTCCAGTTGAGATATTTTTACGGCTCTGCAAACAAGATAATTTTAGGGCCGGATGGTGAAGTGACAATGCATATCTGTCTGTGTGTGGTAGTTTTTCTATAAACAGAATGAACCAAAGTTAGGTCTGATTTTCTATTGTTAAGAAGATCTAAGAATGGGAAATTATTACTAATTTATAATTCCCGAGGGGTTCTTGACCGTAAGGGCAAATAATAAAAGGGCTTCCAGCATTTTGGTTATACGAGGAAAGCTCTCCTTCTTCTTAAAAGCTGCCATACATTTATGATTTTGTTGGTTTATAAATTTGACCGTTACAAGAAAAATATGTTCCAGGCAAGATGACAAATTTTAATATATCTGAAATAGTGTTGAGAAGTTCAGGAATAGGGACTTTACTAAATAGAGATCATAGATAATGATAATAACAATTACGAGGTTTCCCGGCCTGACATAGATGCAGCGCCAGTCTTCTTTTAAACATATATCTTAGTAGGCTGTGAAAAAAAAAGTTGAAGTCTCGCGTCAAATAGTTTTTTATTGACAGCATTTTAAACAAGACGTGTCCGAAAAAATGTCGCAAATAACGCAAATTGAGTATAGAGCAGTTATAAAGTTTTTAACAAAAGAAGGATTAGCACCTGAAATTATTAAAGAAGGGCTGGATGGTGTGTACGGCCAAAGTTCTACTTCTTGTTCTGTAGTGAAAGAATGGGCAAAACGTTTTCGAATGGGGCAGGAGTCCCTTGAAGATGATTCAACAAATGGTCTGCCAGTGGAGGTCATAACGGAAGATATTGTTGCGATTGTGGAAGAGATGGTATTGAATGATCGACGTTTAAAGGTTAAAGAAATCTCAGAAATTACTAAGCTTTCTGATACAAGTGTTCGTCGAATCCTGCATGATCATTTAGGTATGCCTAAGGTTAGTGCAAGATGGGTTCCTAAAAACCTTTCGGCTATTCAAAAACAACGCCGTGTCGAGTGTGTGCGGTCTTTTTTTGGAACTCTGTAGGTCGGAACCGAAGCCTGTGATAGAAACTATTGTGAGGGAAAGATGAAAATATGGTTCTCTATTATGACCCTCTATCAAAAAAAGAATCAATGGAGGGGCGTCGCACCTAAAAGAAAATTCAGAGACTGCCAGTCAAAAAAAAAGGTGATGGCCACGATCTTTTGGCATTGTGAAGTAATTATTTTGATAGATTTTAAAGAAACCAATACCACTGTCAATGGTAAATATTACGCAACATAAATTGCGAGACTGCATAGGTGTAAAACGTCGAGGAAAACTGACCAGAGGCGTGCGTCTTTTACGCGATAATGCACCTGTCCATACTGCTGGTGTTGCACAAGCTGCCATTTTAGAGTGTGGATTGCAACAGATACATCATCCTCCCTATAGTCCAGATATGGCCCCAGCGACTATTATTTGTTTGGATATTTGAAAAAGGACTTACGTGGAAGGCGGTTTAACGACGATGTTGAATTAAAAGAGGCTGTTTTGCAGACAAACCAAAAGAATATTTTTTTAAAGGGGTTGAGTTGTTAATAAAGAGATCTAATAAGTGTATTGAAGTTACGGAGGGTTATATTGAAAAATAATAAGAAATTGTTACTCTACTTTGTTTCTTTCATATTCAGGAAGGGAAATTTTGGCGCTGCCCTCGTATAATTATGTTTTATTGATCCATAGAATTGACAAGTCAAGTTATAAAATAAACACAGATACATAATTTTAACAGTTTGTATGTGAAATGCTTGGCGGCTCTTTAAATTTGTTTAGGTCATAAAATGCCTCTGTTATCAGAATCGCTTTAAATTTTCTTTTAAAGATCGGTAGTCTTTCGCAAGATTGGAGGTAATATATTTAAAACAAGACGTTCTGCATATTCAAATAATTTTTTTATAGTATGCATTCAATTTTAATTGTTCTCTATTTTCTAATCATTGCATATCCTCTCAAATGTCTTCTACTCTATGATATAAATATCTACGCTCATATACATAACACAGTATCTTCAATAAGTAAATGCTAATAAGTGTTAGGCGTTCAGACTTTTTAAACATTGAATTATAGAGCATCCAAACTAATTATTAATTTAATGATTCTCTATTTCGAGATAAAAACGCGATGACTTTCAGTAGATACGCCATATGCTATTATGCCATTATGTTGTAGCTTATAGCTGAATAATATAGTACATAATAAGCACTTAAAAGACCTTTGTTCATCAAGATCATATTTGAAGTTTAAAGTTTAAAGTTTTCTGATAAACTGTCTCAACGTGATGAACAAAGTTTAAATTGCTATTTTGAATGACTCCCAAAAACTTCACGGTCTTTTCGGGTAACAAAACTGATCTATGTTTATTGCGAAATTATTAATTTCCGTTGTAGAAGGACTATGAAAATAGACACACATGGTCTTAGAGTTTTTCAGCATCAACCTATTTTCTAAAGCACCAATTTGTAAATTATCGAACGGCCAAGCTAGCCTTTTGGTTAGTAGACACATGCAACGGCATATCGTTTAAAAATGAAAAATAAGAGTGGACCAAACTACTTCTCTGTTGCACTGCAGTGTCGACGTCATACTCAAACGAATAAACAATATTCGTTTTCGGCCATTACGACATGACGCACTCCAGTCCCCAATTTTGCCGGGCATACTGATTGTTTGAACAATTGCATGCGTCGAGTCAAAGAAAAGCGCCAACACGTGCTCCATTCTCTCTTTATTTTTAGTTAAAAACTGATTTATGCGAAAGGCTATGGCTTTTTCTTAAATTTTGGATATAATACTCAAGAGAGAAATGGGCCTATAGTTTTTGGGTGACATTGGGTCATCTTTCTTATGAAAAACTTAAGATTAATTTAAAATAGGAAAACTCTCCAGCCTATACAGATAAGTTAAGAAGTTTAGCAATTATGCCCGCCTATACAGTTTTACATTTTGAATCAGATAAATGGCAACCTCGTCGAAAGTTCTCCCTGTGGTAGAAGAATTGGACAGAGCTCCATCAAAATGTTTATTCAACTGACTAGCAACAATCGAGGAAAGAAACATACAAAGAGTCTCAGCTATTTCATTGTTATCTTTGACGACTGAACCGCAGTCTCTAAACTCAATGGCGTCTTTTCTAATACTGTTTCTATTTACCCTCTCACTTACTACTTTCCGCAAAGTCTTCATCTTGTTGCCATTATTTTGTTAGTGTTACGTCCAAACCAACCACAATATCGTTTGGATCTAATGTAGTGGTTTTTAATTTTTCAATGAAATTAAAGAAATTAAGTATGAGACTATCAGTTTTCCCTGCAAAGGGTTTTAATATTGCAGCCAGATATTTTGTTAGATAATATGTTGGGTGGCCAGTACTGTTGATAATAGGTCGAGGGGGTAGTCCGGCGGTTTGGGAGTTCGTAGAGACGATCAATTTTAGAGCCATGAGGGGTGACAGGCTTTTTCACGGATTCTGATAAAGAAGAAACCTTAATAACAGATTTAAGGGTGTGTTCCCTAGATGACGTAGGATCTTTTTTAAGTTGACGATAGGATCCGTCTATAAATATCTTGATTTTTTTCCTGGTAGTCAACTGTGTTCATGACCACCCTAGCATTTCTTTTATATGCTTTTCGAATTACGATGTCGTGATTTTGAATTTTAGAGATTTTAGAGCAATGTGTCTGGCTTTGGAATATTGGGTTTAGGAGGTTTGAACATTTTCAGGATTTTTGCTAGTTCAAGTCGAATTTCATTAGCTGTTTCAGACAATATATAATGAGGTCTACTCCTTACCTACTTATATGTTAATTTATATATTAGAGTAGGCAGCGAACTGGATTCAGAAAGTTCATATTTTTTTATCCACTGTGCTTTTCCAGGGCAACGAGTATTACAAAACGGTTTTCGTGGCGTTCTTCCAAGGCGAGCAGCTCAAATCTCGAATCAAAAAAGTATGCGCGGGCTTCCACGCCTCCCTCTACCCCTGCCCCAGCACCCAGCAGGAACGTGTCGAGATGCTACAGGGCGTCCGCACTCGCCTCGAAGACCTCACCATGGTGCTGAACCAGACCGAAGACCATAGGCAAAGGGTGTTGGTAAACGTGGCCAAGGAGTTACAAAACTGGAGCGTCATGGTTTGGAAAATGAAAGCCATATACCACACGTTGAATCTGTTCAACATGGACGTCACCAAGAAATGCTTTATCGGGGAATGCTGGGTTCCTTGCGACGATATACCCAACGTGCAGAAAGCGTTGGCGGACGGCTCGGTAAGTCACTGGTGTTGTGGTTAATATATTCCTTACATAAAATTGTAAGTAGAGCGCCTGCGGCAGTTCCATACCGTCGTTTCTCAACATCATCGATACCAACGAACCCCCGCCGACCTTCAACAGGACCAACAAGTTCACCAGAGGATTCCAGAACCTCATCGATGCCTACGGCGTGGCATCGTACAGGGAATGTAACCCCGCCCTGTACACCATTATAACATTCCCATTCCTTTTCGCTACCATGTTCGGAGACTGCGGCCACGCCCTGCTGATGACTTTTTACGGACTGTACTTGGTGCTTAACGAGAAAAAGATCGCCGCGCAGAAGAACAAGAGCGAGATATATTCGATCTTCTTCGGCGGCAGGTACATCATCCTGCTGATGGGGATATTTTCCTTCTACACGGGATTCGTGTACAACGACATATTTTCCAAGTCGATGAACATCTTCGGGACCAGCTGGAAGGTCAACGTCACCGCTTTGGGGGCCAACTTCAGCGACGACCACGGCCACGAGGGGGCGGAGGTTCAGTTTACCCCGAGGGATAACTTCTGGGGTACCCCGTACTTTATCGGGGTCGATCCGGCGTGGCAGGTGAGCGAGTACCGACCGGTACCTTCATTGTAGCTTTAGCATACATGTTTGGATTAGTTAGATGTTTAGTTAGTTTTTTTATGAAGCTTTAGCGTGGAACCTTTTTTTTTAGTTTTCTTTTGCAGCTTTCGGGTGTATGTTTGGGTTGCTTAGGGGTTTAGTTAACATGGAACTTTTGATTAGTTTTCCTTTGAACCTTTAGCGTTAGTTTTTGTTAGCGTGGATGTTTTGGTTAATTCCATATTTCGTTTGTTTTCTCTTGTAGCTTTAGCGTGGCACTTTTGGTTAGTTTTACCTTGTTTCTTCAGCGTGAATGTCTGATCAGTTTCTGTTGGTTATCTCTTGTAAAGGCTACAAGCTACAAAGCATGAATCTTTCGGTTCGTTTTATGTAGTTTCGGTTAGTTTTGGAAGTTTCTTCATTCTTCAAACTAGTTTTATATATGTAAATTTCCTTTGGAAAATGTATCTATCATAAAAGTGGATGTTTCCGGTAATTCGGTATTTAGTTTATTTGGTTTCTTTTCCCTTGTAGCTTAAGAGTGGATGTTTTGGTTAGATGTTTAGTTCGTTTTCCCTTGTAGCAATAGCGTGGATGTTTTGTTAGTCAGATGTTTGGTTTGTTTTCCCATGTAGCATTAGCTTGAAAAATTTGGTTAGTTTTCCCTTGTTGCTTCAGCATGAATGTCTGATTTGTTTTCCTTTGGTTATCCCATGTAGATTAAGCATGGAGCTTTCGAATCGTTTTGATTAGTTTGAGTTAGCTTTGGTTAGTTTCGGAAGATTTCTTGATTTGGTTCCTAAAAATACAGTTAGTTATTGTTTTTGTATGAGTAATTTCAAAATGAGGGTCTTGGTAACTAAGGAACTCTTGCAAAATATCTTTTTGCGGTTGATCGTTGGCATTTTTTAGCTAAATTGCTGTGATAACCAGCATTATCATAATGTCACAACGCCACCTGTTAAGATAATTTGGAAGAAGAGAATTTCTACCCAATTTTCAAAATGTTTACTTGTCAAGTCTTGATGGTAGTCTAATAAACAATCTGATGTTTTTTGTTGGAAGTAGCAAAGCGTTTAGCACCCAACCTTCTCTCGAGCTACAGTAAAAAGTGGATATTTCTTTTCCTCTAGATGCGCGTAAATTCAAAATGCAATTTGTTGATGAATTTTCACAATTTCTTTATATTGTACTTTTAAATCTTTAAAATATTTTTATATCGGGCGCACTTCTACTTCTAGTAAATCCAGCATTTTTTCAAATTTCTGTTGCAATGATTCACGTGAAGTGAAGATTTTTTTATTTTCTCAGTAAATGTATCAGGAATGCTATAATAAATTTTTACTGATGTTTTATCGCAGGTCTCCAAAAACAAAATCATCTTCCTGAACTCGTTCAAAATGAAGCTGTCCATCATATTCGGTGTCACCCACATGATATTCGGAGTGGTAGTGAGCACCTTCAACTTCGTGTGAGTATGCGGCAACATTGTCTCCTTTTTGGCCCTGAGAACGATTCCGTTTCAGCCATTTCCGGAAGTACTCGAGCATAGTGCTCGAATTCCTTCCGCAAGTGCTACTCCTGATCTTCCTGTTCTTGTGGATGGTGGTGATGATGTTCATGAAATGGGCGATGTATTCCGGCACCTACGACGGAATAGACACCAAACACGGGTCGTCGTGCGCTCCTTCCGTGCTCATATACTTCATCAATATGATGCTGTTCAAGGAGACGGTCGTAGACCCTTCTTGCGACCAATACATGTTCGAGAGCCAAGGCACGGTCCAGATGGTTTTGCTGTTCGGTGCCCTGATATGCATCCCATGGATGTTGCTGGGCAAACCGCTGTACATTAAATGCACAAGGAAGAACGGAAAGTCCGAGCAATTGGTGAACGTAAGTGTATGCGTCTTGGGGAGATCGGGAAGATTTTAAAAGGAAAACTCCATAAGAACATATGTCCTAAACGTCTTAACTTTTGAGATGCAAAATGATAAAGTTTTCAAAAATAACATATACTTTTTTTAATATATATTATTCTCTTACTGCAACACTAAAGTGAGCAGGCGCCCTGTCATACATGAACCACATTCTGTTTCTAATTAAATATGGTACTTCTTCTAGCAATATTGACAAAACATCTTCTAAAAACCAGCGATGATTATGGCCATTTAACTGGCAGGAAAAAGGATCCAATTAAGTAATTTCCAACAATTCCAGTCCAACAACCGAAAACTGTAAATTCTACAACTGCGTGGGGGTTTTCATCTACCTAAATATGGTTATTGTGGAAATTTGCATTTCTGTAAATAGTATTCCTTGATCAAGCAAAGGGTAATGCACAATTTTGTCTAAAAACCACTGACAAAAAATGAACACGCAAGAGAAAATCTCTGGGAGGTAACACTTTGGACTCATTTGTTAATTTATGGGGTTCTTAAAGTACCTGTTTCTGTCAGCTTCGTATATAAATTTCAAAATGTTTGCCTATCTGGTATGAGTCTATCAGGAAAGCGCTCCTGATATAATCGCCTAGCTTCCGGCGCACTGCCATTAACCAAAGCATACATAAAAAGCAGATCTGCCAACTCATGACTAGTAAACTCGACCATCCTTTTTGAAAACAACGTCTCCCGGATATTTGAAATACCAAATTAATAAGACGCCAAGAAATAAATTTAAAAGCTGGTGATGTTTCCATTTCAAATTAAATTAAATTTCTTTAGAAATAACTGGAGATTTTTAAGTAATTAATAATTTTTATTTCATTATTTCATATGAAGTTTTATTTATAAAATGGACCCAAAAATCGCTCCCTTATTTATTAATATTCAATTGGAAAACACTCTGTATATTAAAGGGAAAAAGTAATGGCGACATCAACCAAGGCATGGAGATGAACGAGGTCACTCAGGTAACTCCAGAGAATGGTTCGGACGCTACTACAGCAGTCATTAACGCGACACCGGCGGCTCACCACGAGTCGACCCATCACGAGGAGGAGGAGCCTATGAGCGAAATTTGGGTCCACCAAGCGATCCACACCATCGAATACGTGCTCAGCACCATCTCACACACGGCATCGTACCTTCGGTTGTGGGCTCTGTCGTTAGCGCACGCGCGTAAGTATCATTTTTGAGCAACGCACTTTCTCCAATATGTTGTTTTGTCCCGTAACAATATGCGTAACAAAAACAATGAACACACTGGGCTCGGCTAATGAAAATAGTGCTGAAGCGGAGTCACTTGAGTTTGGAGTTAATACAGTTTAAACTGTATCCCGAGCGCTCTGGACTTTTGGTGCAGAACATCAAACATAAATCCCAAACAGCTGTTTTGGTTTGTTAATATTTTTGTACTTCCCAGATAGAACTATTTTTTTGTGTGTTTAATTTTGTGTGTGTTTTAAATAGCTTCTCCACTTAATACTGCCTTACGTCATAAAAATGTCGGAGGACACAAGTTTCCCTTATGTTGAAGGGCAGAAAAGAAACAGATGTGGTTCATATGTCTATCCCCATCCAATTTCTGATCTATGTATAGACTGAGAGATTTAGTGCTTTCGATGTGTTCTATTGACTGCCCCTTCACTAACTGAAATGAATTGATAAGCAATATGAGTGATGAGAGTTTTAGGATTCGACTGCTGTTTTGTCGCCATATCTATAATGCAAAACGTTGCGGAAGTCAGGTGCCCATTTTCAATAATAAACTGTTTAAAAAACTCGGGTATGATTAACATATCTACACATATTTAAATATTTCAAACATTAATTGATATTGGCATAGTTGACATTTTTTTCAACAAATTCTCAAACTCTTGAGTCTAGAGCGAAAAAGTTTTGCAGGGTTCTATCGCCATTTTAATTTTATCCGGAAAAACCTATTTCTGAACTAAATAGAGTAACATCGACTTACATGTCGAGGACTCAATTTTTGAGAAACATTTACTTGCTACTACCAACCAAGATGTTCAAGGAATGAACCTGAAATAGTGCAGAAACACAGCTATTGGGATGGTTAGGTCATACGCAAAGAATGAGTAGTGAAAGAAACCCAAAAGCAACTCTCACGACCTCAATTGTGTAAAAGAAAAGGCAAGAAAGGCCAAGGACAGGATGGAAAGCGATGGTGCAAATGGACATAGCAAGAATAGGAATAGCCGGGTGGACGGAAAAAGCAGCAAATAAGACAGTTTGTAAAAATTGAAGGCACAAGTCATGGGCCTTCTTAGCCTGTAGTGAAGAATTCCATCATAATTCATTCCAAAAAATCCACAAGTCCCTTATATTGTGAAAGCTTTTTTGTTTGTTTATACAAAAATTCAAATTAAAAATTTGTCAGATGAATCTAAAAAATGTACTGCAAATGAAGTCAAACAATCTTCAACAAATGTTCTTCCTAGGTGGAAAAAATGCCATGATAACGTCAATAGAGTTTCAGGCAAATATTCTTTATGGTTGTAAAAACTTTATTGCCAGAGAACTTCACCGATGTGTTGAAAAACAAAATAATTTTCAAATGCCGTCTTTGGCAACGGAGGTTTATTATTATTATGTAGCATTTATTGTCAAAAAATACAAATACTTGGACAATCTTGGTAGGTTATTTACAGATACTTACAAAGGCTACGTGGTTCGGAAATAATAAATAAAATAACACTTAGTAGTGCAAAAACTTTAAAGAAAGTGAAAATGGCGCTTGAACCGCCTAAGATAAAATTTAGTTACTCACTTGCTTTGAGGCTCTTATTTCGAATGCGTTCTGCATCTATTATACTGTGTTTTTAGAAAGTTCGGAAGACGAATGAAGAAAAAATTGCATTTGAAAAAAAAATATTAATTACAAAATTAATTCACAACTATATCTTTTGACTGATGTTAAACAAGGGAATGGGGCCAGTGGCGAAAAGACCTCTCGCAGGTTTGTTGGGGCTGGCCTAAACCAGACGTTTTTACGTTTTTTCATCATTTTTCAAGCTTTATTTATTGAATATCATGTTGACTTGATCAGTTTATAAATGACACCTTGGAGACTGCAAAACTGTTTGTAAGACTTTATATTTAGTTTTGTATACCTGTCCCTATACAGGGTGTTGATATTATTTGCTTTGAGGCATTGGGCAGCTCTCTGAGGATGCTCAAGAGGCTCTGCATAAAAAATACAAGCATTATCGAGAACCCAATACCAGAAAAATATCAAGAGATAAAACCAATGAAAAATTAATTCTTTTTGTTTGTCAAATCCAGCTATTAAAACATATGAGTATTGTCTGTTGAAAAGACGAGCACGTTTCAAGTTTTCAATTTATTGAGAAATCCTGAGGTCAACTAGATTCAATAAATAAACAGATATTGCAGATATTAGTTACCTGTATTTTTTAATTTTAGCTGTTTTAATATTAGCGGATGCTAACTAATTTAGCTATTTTAATTTTAGCTACTTTTTGATACCCTGTTTTTTTATAGAGATATCCGTATTTGCCAAGTGGTGTTTTCATTCTCAAAAATTTATATTTAAATATACTGAAAAATTTAAAAACTATTTTCCAAAAATTGTAGGAAGGAATTTCATTATCCACATAAAAAGTTTGAATTTAGTAGTAGTACTTAGTTTCGCCAAATTAGCAACAGTAGTTAGCCACATGCAAACGAGCTCTGTCCTTTTTCAGAGCTGTCCGAGGTGTTGTGGAACATGGTGCTGCAGATGGGATTGAAGGCGGAAGGTTTTGTCGGTTGCGTCTACGTCTACATATTCTTCGGCGTGTGGGCATTGTTCACGATAGCAATTTTGGTGCTGATGGAGGGACTGTCAGCGTTCTTGCACACCCTCCGTCTGCACTGGGTCGAGTTCATGTCCAAGTTTTATAGCGGTTTGGGGTACGCCTTCGAGCCGTTCAGTTTTAAGGCAATCTTGAACGCACAAGAGGAAGGGGAGGAGTAGTCCGGGGCCCCTCAAACATGATTCCATTTTTATTTTTCCAATACTTGAAGTATTAATTTTTATTTAGCTTTGTAACTTTTTAGTTTGAATATAGTTTGTTGCATTTTAGTTGTGCTCTTATTCATTAAAACCTTACCAGAATGTGTGAAATTGAGGAGGTAATTATAAATGAAATTTTTTAAATTATTAAAAATTGCTGTCCTAATATTTTGAGTTTACTACGAATCCCGAACTCACGAAACCGGCACCAAATTTTATTCGATAAAACAAAAATTCTTTCTTGTAATCAATTCTTCTACCAACAAAAATCCTAGAATCTATAGAAATACTAACCAAAACTAATTAAACAATCTTAACTGCACCTCAATATGGGAATCAGTCATCCGAGATGAAGTTGGTGCCCCTCCTTCAGCTCCGACCCCCTGAAATAGTATATAAGCATGTACAATGTAGAATGCTAACCAGTTTTGGGTTTGGCTCTCAAGAACCCAACAGAATAATTGGCGAAAGATAGTATTACAGTAAGGTATGGACGTTTCTTTGAAAAATTAAGAAGATTAAGATTAATATTAAGATTACACTGTACTCTCACTTTTTTGTTACGTTATAAAAAAACCATAACATAATTCTTAATTTTCTTAAAATATCCCATTGCATCAAAACCTTATCTGCATACAAAATTCTTCGTAAATCTAGTTCATCCTAACGGTAAAGAAATACACCAAATCAATAAGGTTCTACATCTTGAAATATGATCCTTGACAAAGTTGAATATCTAAGTTTATCTTCTATACAGAACCTCATTCAAAAATTTGAAAAACTATCCTCAACATCAGTGAAACCAACAATCGCTTTTCAATTTAGGAACACTGTGGTAAATGTATCGTATCAACTTTGTGGGACTGAAAAATCAGTTCTTGTCCGTAGCCTGTGGAAGTCTCTTTGAAAAATTTTCTAAGAACGCCTACCAACTAAAGCAGGTAATTTGTTTTTTTCAAAATTTAACAAGACCGATACGTGGCAAAAATTAAGAACACTTAAACAGTATTCAATTATTAATTTAACTTAATTATTATTAGACCTGAGTTAATTGTAATACTCTTATATCTATAGACTATCATGATATTACTCGATATGATTTTAAAACGATCTTCAATAGTATTTCAAAATACTGTCAGTGATACTGACGAGCACTACTACCGTAATTTAACATAGTATCACTTTGTTACTGAGAGTAATTTGAAATACTGTCACTTGCAAATGACTGATATGATTGTGCTGAATCGAAAAATTCATGAGGACCAAAAGAATAATGAAAATACTGATGTAAGGTGGCATGAAAAATGCTATCAATCTTCACGACTATTTTTAAGTACCCAGACGTGCTATTAGGCCCCCTAATGGCGACGCCTAATCAACATCAACACTCATCAAGTACGCAGTTTTTCCCGGTATATCAGACAAAGACTGATTTGAAACCAATAAATCGCGCCTTATCTCGTTGCAACTGTAATTTTAAATATGACACACTTACATCGAAATTGCGGCAAACTATGGAAAAGTTGCGGGAGATAAGTCGCCGAATCCACTTGACATCTATCGCTTATTGCCGACAAGCGGCGCATAGATCGCAGGGTACCCATTTGGTATAGCACACAATAAATGGTCATGACTCGCCTGACCTATCATAAGCGGAAGGCCACTCGCCCTCAACAAACCGAGCAATAAACCGATAAAATGCCAGGTAGGTATTTTTAATGTTAGTAGTGTCGACACTTCAGAAATTTGAAAATCATTTACCATTAGTAGGAGAGTAACGTACCAAAAAGAAAGTGTGATTTGAATATGTGCTGCAAGAGAATCGTGTATATGAAGACAAAATTTATATAATAAAAATCAAAATAAATAAGAACTAAAAGTTCAGATTTTCACGAAATTATATATTTTGACATGACAATTGTTTCGAGAACACCGTGTCTTTATCAAATGTAATATTTACAAACTACTTGCTACTACATATACCGAAAAATGACCATAAAACCTTAATTAATGGTGTTGTGAGAATTTAAGTTCAATAAAGGAGAGGTATTTAAGTACAATTGATCGTTAAGCAATACATTTGAATGGCTCATTTTGTTAATCTCCATGGCTTCCAATAAATTTAAATATACTTTTTGCGGCTGTATGTAAAATATCAAATCAAAAAGTGTTTAAGTGTGTAGAGAATCTAGACTATTGTTTTTAAAAGCTCTTTTATGTTCGTTAATGCGTTTCTTGAAGGATCTACCTGTTTGTCCGATATAAATTTTAGGACAAGATCCGCATTTCAACCTGTAGACACCTGATTTTTGGGATTTTGGACATTTCGTTTTATTGTTTTTAAAAAATTTAATGTAATAAAATTAATATTTTTAAAGAACGTTTAAAAACAATACTCTAGATTCTAATTATGCTACACACTTAAACACAGAAAAACAGATTTTTCACGACAATTTTGATATTTTACGTACAGCCACAAAAAGTCGAAAATTCAATTTGAGGAAGCCATGGAAATTAACAAAGTGAGACATTCAAATGTATTGCTTAACGATCAATGAGATTTAAATAACTCTAAGCTTTATAGAACTTAAATTCTCACAACAACATTAATTAAGGTTTTATGGTCATTTTTCGGTATATATAGTAGCAGGTAGTTTGAAAATATTACATTTGATAAAGACACGGTGTTGTCGAAACAATTGTCATGTCAAAATATATAATTTCGTAAAAAATCTGAACTTTTAGTTCAATTTATATAATACTTATATTTTTAGTCATAATATCGGAAAATTGCACAATTTCTACTTCTTCTAATGATTCAACAATTCAGCAAAAATTATATTCATTTTAAATTCACTTCTTCCAAATATCCCACCAAACAGCATAATAGTTTATGTTACTTACTAGTTAGCCAAAAAGGGTACGATGGGTAGCGAAAAAAGGGACATAGACTCACCGCTTCAAAATGCTACTTACTAGTTACTTGTTACAGATCTTTGTTTTCTATATTTCCAATATATTAAATTTCCAAGTAATCTTATCACATAACCTGTTATGAATAATCTGGATTTTGATATCTACCCAAATAAGACTATAAGACTTGTATATGGTATTGTAGCTGAACAAACATAAAGGAATGTATGTGACTTCAATTTTCTTTGCTTGGTTGCTTGCTTCTTTTTTGCTTTCATAGGACTACTGTGGTACAGCGTACAACTTTATAAATTATTCAATGTACTTAGTTAGGATTCGTAGGAGGACTAGAACTCCCTCCTTTACCTCCACTCTCTTAAACAATGTATTAGCAGGTACAGAGTAGAATGCGAGTCAGATTCAGTTAAACTCTGAATAAGTCAACAGGATGGATGGCGAAACGTCAGCAAATTCGATTTATCAACAACTGACTCAGAAAAAATAAAGAAGTTTTGTAAATAGTAGCAGTTTCAGTTTTAAGCACTAATATACTCAATACTCCTTAGATTGCCACCTTATCACTGATGAGTAATTTTATTTCATATGCATTCATTGTTTATATAATTATACGCAACATTACAATTACAATCCAGCAAAGTAAAAGTAGGGCAACTCATGATTATATGAGCAAACACAAAGAACATAATGATTGCTTAGATAGGGAGTTTTTAGAATTAAGGAAAACGCGACAAGCAATATAAAATATACAAAAAGTAAAATACCCAAATAATTTGCAAAAATAGCTGCCGCTGAAGTTGAAAATAAATGTAAAAAAATTGAGATTTTTTTTAATGAGAAATGGGAACAAACCGACGCATATCAGAAAAGGCAGTGGAAAGTTATAAAGGAATTAATAAAAGAAAAAAAAAAGATTCTCAGAAATAAAGAATATTGAATAAATGGTCCGCAGTATTAATAACGAGTAGTTGTGTAGTTCTGCCTGTTTCAGTAATATCTAAGTAATGGAATCAATTTTTCTATGCGAAATAGATAACCTAGAAATCTTACAGATAATAAACAACTTAAACATCAAGTTCTCAGCATTTATAGATAAAACTGGATAACTCGGGAAGTTAGATAATTATAGGTCAATAATAGCAAAAAAAATAGCGAAAAATTGTAGAATGAGCCTACAAGAAACACATAATAAAAAGCTTGATAATGAGTACTTGTGAGTAAAATATAAAAAATAAGTATTATGCTCATATATTTCTCACGCCATACCTTAAAGATAGAGTACAATAAACTCTTATAAATAAAGAATTTATGGACTCTTGGCTAATAATTTTTAAAAATCTACTCTGTGTTGTCCACATAAAAAATGCGGTCAGCTGTAAATTTCTTTGATTCCTAGATTTGTTCTAGAAGATCGTGGAACTTATCAGTACATTATTTTGTGAAACCAAGAACTCTTGCGAAACAACTATCGGTGGGCTTCCGACCCCCTTAGCCAATATCGGTCAGCTGCATTATTATTAAATTTCGAGTTAATCCGTATAATTTGGACTCCATTTTAAGCGCATATTACAGAAAAAGAGATTCAAAGCTTTTATCAAAAGCAGGTTTTCTCAAAATGTTTTTGGGTTGGTGTGTCCTTTTCAGCAAATAGTGGTAATGTGGTTCTTGGTACCTTGAAGTGGCCTTAAGGTATCCAACTTTTTTCTGCCTTACTGCTAGCACAGCAGCGGGCATATCTTCTGGATTCCAGTTCTGTTTCTTTTTAGGAGTTTTGTTGGATGTCATGACTGAACGAAAGTAAAAATCAAAAAATTAATATAATTTGGAATATTCCAATTTTGCTTCATTTATGGTACTCCAAATTAACAACATTAGCGCCCACTTCATAATCCGTTAAAAAAATAAATGCTTTAGCTCACCAAAAAAATACAGTTAATAAATAAAAATATAAACTTTTACTTACTTGAGGACGCAACTAACGTTACTTTAAAAATAAAAATCCAGGCGATGATTGTCCATTCAATTCAACTAAAAAAGTTTTAGATACGCAACTATTAATTTTTAAAATATGTTTGTCCCCCTACCATCGATTAAATTAACTACAAAGTCAGTTGTCCACTAAAAGAGGTTAAACTAATGGTTTATACCATATTTAACGCGATAGCAGAGTTTCAATATTTTGTATTTCAATTTCTTTACCACTACCCTGGCCAGTTTGATATATCGGCCCAAAAATTCCTACGAGCAATAGCGTCAATAGCATCATTACCAATAATCTTAATTCGGGCCTCTACGCGCTCGCGTTCAAACAATTAAAATTTTACCGATTTTACGAAACATCGAAAACAATATTGTTATTTTATTTGTACGGCGGTTGGTAATCGACCTGCTAGATACCTCATTATCGTCCAATTCAATTAAGTGGCCCGATAAGCACCTAAAGGGTACGTAGTTGCCATTCATGTGACTGCTGTTCAGTTTTTGCCCGGGTTTGAAACAACAGCGTTCAAGTGACGATATAGAAAAGTTAGTGCCAAAGGAAACAGGTAACGCAATTCGAATCTATCGCTTTCTACTGCTCAAATATTATAGACCATATTATAGGCCTGAACTTCCTTTCTATGACGCCCCTTTAAACAAGAAAATTATTTGGGATTAGTTATCTAACTCGAAAGATCTATGTTCTGTTCCTTAAGGCGGCAGGCTTGTAAAATATAAATTTGCAATGAAAACTATTATAATTTTTTATTACTTTTATTACATGTTTACCTGTAAATTTTAGTCACCATGTTCCGAGTAGTTAGATGAACCTGTTGTCTTAGCCCTGAGAAATAATAAAATTGTTTTCTAGGATGTTTTCAGCTTTCATAATCCTTTCTCCTATTTCTATCCCACGTTCGACGCACTTACTCCATTTTTCTCAATCAAGCATCTTTGTTTTCTCATTTTAATTGCCTTACGCCAATAACAACTCCATAGTTTTTAATTCCCAGTGATATACCGTTATATTTCATCGGCAATCAATGACGTACCAAAAGGTTTATTTAAATTTACAATAGCTCCTTTTTCATCATATATTTCTCAAATTGAAATATATATTTTTTTTCTTAATTTGCATGGCGATAACCGACCCTAGACGTAGTCTTCAAAAACATCAGCATTCATGCGTTCATAATAGTCTGCAGTCCATTCTGATTCAAATGTTACTTCCTAAGCTATAACCGGCAAATCCATTTTTGCTGCCAGTGTGTATAATTATAAAACCTTTAAGCTTTCTCGAGAATGCTTTTATTCCATTGAACCATCCTTCGATAAAAGCTTGACACGCAAATTTTTAATTTTTATCCTGCCATGTTTTGCTCAAAGTAAATCCTTCTGTTATTCAGGTCTCGTCCAGATAATAGGTATTCCTGTTTTCCGTTCGAAACTACCTTCTTCCTAGATTGCCTGTCCAATGCCGGCAATCATATTGGAATATTCTTCTGTGTCCGCTGCGGTATGCACCAATTTTCAGATAGTTCGTCGTCCTGTCTATTCCCGTGTGTTTCTCAGCCAGAACATCTGTTTGTTTTGTTTCAAGACGGCTATAGATCCACGTTTCAAATGCTTTCAGTTTACTAAACATGGTCGATTTCTCGGTCTCATGCCATATAATGGGACCGACCGCACATGGCGTAACCGCCTAATTGCTGTCAAATATCATAGTCGCCATTATCTATTAAGTGTGATTTTCTGTTTTGAGTTTTATTAGTGACGAAAATTCATTGCCTCCAAAAGTTTTCCACATTTTTTTTTAATCCATAAATTGAAGTCATGCTCTATTTCTCTTTGTAAGTAAGGTTATTCTTCTGTTACTTTTTTTCCTGTGCACAAGTCGGCATATTGTTGACTGTCCAATTCCAATCATATTCGAACATTTAACTATTTTGGCAACTCCGAATATTGAGTTTTGATGATGGCGAAGATCTTTGAAAACAAATTAATACCTCTCGCTTATTAGTTGTTTAAGAGAAAAAAATATATATTTTCAAATATATAAGTTGATTCATGAATTAAGGGGAAATTAGACTATATATTTTAACAGCCGCCAGTAACAGCTGTAATTACGCCACAATTTTATTAAGTGTCTTGATTCGAATCGTTTAGACGGGGTGAGTTAAAGTGAAAAATATTAATTTGTCAAAAAAAAACTTTCTTATATTAATGATAGTTTCATCATAAAACAAATATAATTGATTATTTTATTTACGTTTAAACAAAAATCCAAACTGATGTATCAAATGAAAAATTTACTTCAAGTATATATAATGAAGAAAAACAACTTCAACCACCGAAGAAATGTAAAAAAAAGGATAAATCAAAAAGAACTGGAATAAAATGCTATTGCTATTGCTGTAATAGAGACCAACCAAACCACCAAAGACGCAGCTGTGCGGGAGAATTGAAAAAGCAATCAACTGTATTAAAAGTATCAGGATGACAATATCCTTACTATGTACAAATCTTCTGAATTCCTGTTGCGTCGGTTATAAATGAATTTTTTTGACATTCCGCCAATCTCCCTGTTGGCTTCTGGAGAAGTTAACTGAAAGTAGCTTGCATTGTACTCTTATATATTGATTGAAGAGGAGAGGCTGAAAAATTAGCAATAATCTTTTTTTCGATTTTTTACATCAAACGAAAGGTTTATATATATATATATATATATATATATATATATATATATATATATATATATATATATATATATATATATATATATATATATATATATATATATATATATATATAGACATCGGGAAGTGGGAGAGGGGATTACGCACTGTTCACGCAACCAATCAGCGTGTATAATGGGCTAAATGGGATTGGACCTCTGTGCTTGTTCAGTGCCTTATTCCCTCTCTTAACAATTTCTAAGCTTTCGTAGGCATCTAATTTTCTACTATTATTTACCTGTTTAACTAATTTTAAATTACTTACATCTACCTTATGATTATTGTTGAACAAATGTTCGGCTACACTTGATTTTTCTAATCTACCAAATTTTAAATGAGCTAAATGTTCCTTAAATCTAACATTAATTGATCTTTTGCTTTGCCCTACATATGACTTGTCACAATCGTTACAACATATTTCACAAATTCCCGACTTTTCAGGGATATCTAGTTTATCCTTGGGATTACCCAAGAGATTTTTTAATTTTGATCCGGACTGATAGACACTTCGAAGACCTGCGGCCCTGAAGACTCTATCTATCTAGCATTTGTTATTAAGTTTAGTTTTAATCTTTTCCTGAAGATGCCAACTTGGTTGGCGAAACGCGCGTCGAGTACATAAAATTGAGTTTCGGTTTATGGTAAAACGCGTTATTGTGAATTAGGCTTGTGATTAAGAAAAACAACTCAAACCAACTACAAAAAGAAGGATAAAAAATAACTGGAATAAAATAAATAAATAAAAACCCATATTGGTGAAAGGTAAAGACCTGAGCCGTAGTTAAGATTGTTTGTTTGCTTCTATTATAGATTTCTATATATTCTCGGATTCTTCGTTAGTATAGGAATTGATTAGTTTTATAGAATAAGATTTGATGTCCGGTTTCGTGATTATGTTCGACAACTGCTGAAGATTTTTTTTTCCTTATCTTAAGGCTTCATGTTTGATGTAGTTGATATTTTTCATTCATTCATATTTATTGAATGCTGTAAATTTCTGGTATCCCAAAGGGAATTTTATCTTTGACGGATCGAAGATGTTGATGTGGATGTGAAGATGTTTGATGTGGTCAGTGGTGTTTTGGATGTAAGGAAGAACAACAGTAGCAAGTGTGGGGTTGCTTTCACTTATTGTCTTCGGAAAATTGTGGTGAAGTCTTTTGGGTGATTTCCATCATCTCTAATGTAGAAATTATTATAGAGAAGAACAGATGTTTTAAGAACAGGTGTTTCAATTCTAGGTTCAGTGACTCGGCTGTAGATAGTTTTACGGCTCTGCAAACAAGAGAGTTGATAACCGATGATTTGATTTTTGGGCCTGATGGTGATGTGAGAATGAATTAAAGTATCGGTCAATGTGCCTAGGTTTTCTGTAAACAGAATGACCCAATATTATGTCTGATTTTCTACTAATACGAATATCTAAGAATGGAAGATTAATATTACGCATGTTTGAATGCGTAGAGTTTAAATAACTAAGTTTAGCTCTGAAGAAGTCAACGGAATGATTGGTGAAAAGACAGCAAGTCTAATTTATAAACAACCAATGCAGGAGGAATCCAGAAGATTTGTAAATAGTGTTACAGTAGTAGAAAAAGTGCTGATACGAGAGGAAGCAGCTGTTGGGGAGCGTTGGAAAAGCAAATAAATAAATAAAAAAAACTGGAAATTGGACAGCTCTAAAGCACTTGAAGCCTTAAATATGTATTAAATCAAACCAATGAAGACGCAGCCGTTGGGGAGTATTAAAAAAACAATCAACTGGATTAAGAGTTTCAGGACACCTACAACGTTCTTTTTTAATCTATGCGTCAAACCTCAGCATCCAAATTGGCCGAACTATTCCAAAATTCAGATAAACTGTCGTTTCAGCGTGGAAATCAAATAGAGTTTGCTACTAACTCAAGCCTGAAACACGTTTAAATATCGAACCAACTAAAATGAAACAACTCCTCTCACATCTAAGGCAAAAAAGCTTTCAAAAATTCATCATAGTTACTCTACAATCAATAACTTCGTTAGAAAAAGTAATTCACATTTTATAAAAGCCACAGCAACAATTAGGAACTTCATAGAATTTATTAACGTCCGTTTCTATTTCGACTAGCATTGCCTATGACAATATGTATTTGTTGCATTTGTGTATACAGCAGCATTTCATATAAAAAATCACATTCCCATACCAACAATAGTTTTATAGTAAAGCCTTCATTTCAAGATTTTCACAATTTCGCAAACACAGAAACATCAAATAAAATACAGAAAAACCTAAACAAGAAGCAAAACTAACAAATAAAATAAAACTACAAGAATTAGGTTTATACAGAAGAAAAACAGCTCAAGTCACTACGAAATAAAAGTAAGAAAAGAAATAAACTTAAAAAAAGGACTGGAATAAAGTGCCGAGACAGCTGTAAACTATTTGAAATGTTAAATATGAATAAGGCAAACTATGAAAAACGCAGCTGTTGGGGAGCATCGAAAAATCAATCAACTGGGTATAAAGTATCAGGACACCAACATCCTTTTTTTAATTTTTGCATCACACGAATTGGATTTAACCTCTACAATCTATAACATCGTTAGTTCTGAGAAACATTTTGCTTGGCAATCAATGATATAATTTTGACCCTAGAAAAGTGCTACGCATTTTGCAGAATCCATTCTAATATCTAGGAATTTCATAGAAGTTATTAAGATTCATTCTAGTTGGACAATAATGGATTATGACAATACATTTTTGCAACGTGTGTATATAAAACAACATGTGATATACAAAATAACATTCCTAAACTAACAATAATTTTATCATAAAGCAAATCTAATTGAGA